AAAACCCAACTCAAGCTATACTCCGGATCTTGAATCAGGAGGGTCGACAAAAAAATATTTTATGATGAAAAAGGAGCTAATTTTTATTGAAATTGACTTTTCATTGTTTGGATGCTAGCAATATAATTGGTCCAATTCTAGTTGGACCTTATTATTATGTCATTTTAAATCCCAAAAACACCTATCTTAAATTATCAAACTTATAGATTAACTTGTTTTCTTGAATAAGATCACTTATTGTATCTATCGCATGTAGGTAAGAGGCATCAAGGGGTCGTTGGAAGTTGCTACCTAGTTGTTTGGTTTAGGGTTGTTAGAAAATCTGGATGTACTGATTTTATCAAAGATTCAAAGAGTAAAGAACTGGTTGTAGCTATAGAAGGTATTAGCATTCTTAGCACATCTTGCCTGGGATAAGCAACTTTGTGCCATTTGATGTGGTTTAGATGGTTTGATAGTTTTTTTATTGGTAGTCTATCTGTGGCTTAGGATTGAGATTTATTTGTTTGAATAAACCTGGTGTTAAGAATTTATTATGGACTTGTATACTCAAATAAATTCTTATGAAAAATATTTTTCATAATTTGTATTTTATGGTTAAAAATACTTCTAATTAAAATTGGTGAATATTTAGAATAACACTAAGAATTTTCCAGTCAACTCTTAATATTTAAATACCAACCTTGCTTAGAGGTCCAACATTTATACCAGAATATTTAACCATTAATCCTCATAAATTTAAAAATTGGTGATTATTAAAATATTGACCAAATTTTCATGGGTTCAATAAATTAATTATCAAGTCCAAAATTTATGTTAAAAAAATAAAATGTACTATGTATTTTATGGTTCAATAAATTGATTATCAAGTCCAAAATTTATGCTAAAAAAATAAAATGTACTATGTATTTTATGTTTTTAATAAGATATCATTTTTTTTGTATTTTTGAGAGACTTAGTCGTATGCAACATGTAAAAAGACTTTTTTTTTGGTATATTTGTAGTCTTATTGGAATAAAAACTATCCCAAAAAAAATTAAAAGAGATCTTACCAAACACATCCTTAAACCTAAAATTAAAAATTAAAAAAAACAACAACAGTCAAACAAAGCCTAAAGGCAAATCTGATTGTTTTTTTACCCGATTAGTTGACTTGGTTGGGTTAGCCTAACCGAGTTGACTTAGAAACAAACTTAAATAAAAATCAAAACTAACACAAATCAAACGTCACAAGAGAATAAAAGCTTAATAAAATTTCAGCCAAAACGAATCAATTGCATAAAAGACATAAAAACTTAATAACGAGATATGAATTTTTTTTTTGTATTTTTGAGAGACTTGGTTATATACAACATGCAAAAAGATTTTTCTTTGTATATTTATAGGCTTCCTGGAATAAAAACCATCCCAAAAAAAATTAAAAGAGGTCTTACCAAACACATCCTTAAACCTAAAATTCAAAAAAAAAAAACATCCAAACAAAGTCTAAAGAAAATCTGATTGTTTTTTTACCCGATTGGTTGACTTGGCTGGGTTAGCCTAATTGAGTTGACTGAGAACAAATCTAAAAGAAAAATCAAAACTAAAAAAGATTAAATTTCACAAGAATATAATAACTTAATAAAATTTTAGCCAAAACGGATCAAATGCATAAAAAACAAAAAAAAACTGAAGAACATTGAAAGGCATCATTATAAACACAAATCTTGATCTAGACAAAATATCAAACAAAGAGAGGCATGGTTATGTTCGCCATCACATATAGAACAAGAATCAAGAGTTCATTCACTTTAATTGTCACTAGATTAATATGATTTTTCCGAAATGGATTTCAGTTTAAAATTGAAACCCTAAGATTAAAACCTTTTAAATGTGTTATTGGTACATAAACTCCTAGATTATTTACTAACAATAACGGACAAACTTGTATAAACAAAAAATTAATCGAAATAAGCTCTAAAACTAGTACCTAATGCAAGATTCAACGATGAATTTGCGAAACCCAAAACACAAAAACCCAGAAAAAGCTAAATGCACCTAAAATGACCATTTTAAGCCTTTAAAGTATGTTTTTCTTATTCTCACAAACCACATTATCAATGGTGAATATTATTGGAACCAAAGAAACTATAAAATAGAACAAAAACTAAAAAATATATGGATTTCTCAATTCCTAAAACTAGCAAATCAAATCAAAAGGCATGTTTAATCAATCAAAGTTTTAAAATTCAACTTTTGTCATTCCAAAATACTAAGTTAACAACCCAAAACACCAACACTAACTCTCCATCACAGAAAATGAGCATTCTCTTTGTTGCCATTTTAGTATTTATAAAATCAAAACAAACATGTAATGCAATAAGTAAAACCAAGCAACAATATGTAAAAACATTCAAAACTTTACATTGAACACTAGAGATCAATCTAGTAGGCCTCATGGACTCCACCTTCAAGATTTAAAAGTATATACCTTTTTAGCTTAGAAACCTTTAAATTTGGATTGATATTTTGATATTGCTCTCCATCTTCTTTATCTTCATACCTCTTAAGACATGGCTATAGCTTTCAAGCTCCTCTGGACCGAGTTGCTTGCTCATTAGCTAAAATTTCTCTTATCTCTTATTTTGCCCCTTCCCCCCTTTTTTTCTCTATCTCTTTGCTGCTAGATCCTTTCCTTTTATAGTCAGATTTATGTCTTCTAGATAGGTTTGTTAGGGTTCTAACAGACTAAAACCTAGCTGGCTTTGCCATAGAACAAATGGTTTTGGGTTTAACTGGTTTTGTAGGAAACTTAGATGTCATGATGAGGTGTTTTTTATCTGTAGATCTAAAGAGAAAGGTTTGAAACCTTTAATGGGAACCTTCTGGGGGTTTTTTAAATGGAAGCACATAAAAAATTTAGGTGGTTTTTTTGTAAATGGGTGTCTTTGTCAAGGCTAACTAAGACGATCACTTTCATAGTTTTGCCAAAGCAACATCAAAATCAAATTAATGGTTACTTTCATGGTTTTGCCAAAGCAACATCAAAATCAAATTGCCTGAGACCACTTGAACTTTGTAAAGGGGGAGCACACCTTTTGATCATATCCATTCTTACTTGATTTAGAGGTCTGTAGCTCTATATTCAAATATTTAAAAGTGTCCACTCAAACAGCGTGATGACTGAAACCATAATGTTGGCTGACTAGGGACAAGATATTATGGAGATCAATGTAGAATATGGGCTATAAACATTTGATTTTAAAGACATGAGATCATAGAGGACTTGTTTCTCAATTGAATGGTGGTGATTATAGTCTTTAGGGTGGTTATAAACGTCACATTTATTTGCTTGAAGGTGCCTACTTAATCAACCAAAAACTAAAGAAAAAGATGCACAATACCTTTAACGACACTGTTTTGACTAACTCTTACAGATTAGGGTTTTTGATTTGGGATATAGAAATTTTCAATTTAATCTATATTCTTTCAATTTCATTTGATTTTACCTGTAATTTCCCTCTAACTTTCTAATTTTATACAATTGCTGCCCCGTTATATTCATTTGTCAACACTAATTATGATCACCTTTTACAAGTTGATCCTCGGTCTTTGATTTGTTTAATTAGATCCTCAGATGACCACCAAACTTTTAATTATTTTTTATTTGACCCCTGATTTTTTCTAATTTCAGTCCCTAAGTCGCTTGTATTTTGCAAGTTAGTCCTTAGTTCATAAATTGTTCAATTGCATCCCTATTTGCTAAGTAGACTTCAAATTTTATGTAATTAAGCATATAATTTGACTAATTAAACTTTTTGAAATCCAATTTTGATCTCTAAACTTCATTTGTTTCAATTGACATAAAAACTAACTCATAAAAATTGATTTTCCTTACAATTTAACCCTCAATAAATTTTTTTAAATTACAATTTAAATACCTAAAGTATTTTTACGGATGGCTCCCTTTGTAAATCAAAACCTTGGTAATTGAACCCTCAATAAATTTAATTAAATTTTTTTAAATTACAATTTAAATATCTAAAGTATTTTTACTGATGGCTCCCTTTGTAAATCAAAACCTTGGGTTACTAATTTTTAGACATTATGATTTACCAACTTTCACTCGGTGTTTTTGTTTTCCATCATTAAATTTGGGCAAACATGTTTTAGGCTTATTTCAAATGTATTTCTTGGTATGTATTTTATTTATTTTTTTATTTTATTTTATACAAAAGAATAGGCAGCAACAATATTCATCACTCACCAAGACATATAAACAAACATCAACTTATCAAATCCCTAATTCTTTTCACCCCAAATTGAAACTAAGAAATTCTTTCAACAAGAGAAAATAAAGCCCTAATAAATAAAACCAATAATGGATCACTTTCATGATCACAAAGATGATGAGCACAAGCAATAGATAAACAGTGAAGAAATCTCCGATGAAGAAGAAATGGATGTCAGTACTAGTGCACTACGCAAATTAAAAAAAATAAAGAGGATGCAATTTTTTGGAAAGCGTCTGTCACTCTGTAGTGACACTAGTTTGTGAAAATTGATGGGATCCTGCAAGGTCAGATTTTTATAGCTCTTGGCCAAAGGCAAGGTGAAGAGAAGATTTTGGTCATATTATTAGTTTTTGTTTTTGAGTTTGGGAAGACGTCGAGGATATGAAGAACAGGTTGAAAAAAATTGAAGAAAAAGTTGACGAAATGTACACTAAGATTTAGAAAAGAGATAGGAGATGTTAGAGGTATATTTGTTATAAAAAAAAATTGGTGAACAAGTTTTGACTGGGTTTATCCTTTCAACTGGGAGTCACCCTGAATTTTAGAACAATGGTTTGCAATTTATCTCTTCTTATTATTTAATTGATAATAAGTACAAAAACAACTTATTTTGATAAATTAATTAAAAAAAAAAAGGAAAGTGAGAGATAAAATATCTATACCCGAGTCAGCATAAATGAGGAGATGCTCGCCAAATTAGCTAGAACAAACCACCCAGGTAAGACAGACAAAAGCTATTTTGACTTGAAAAAAAAAAAATTGATGAAATCAAATTCCATTTTGTATTTATAAACTAGAAAAACACTCCTAGCCAATGAGAACAGATGCCAAGAAGAAGGCCTAGGAACTCATCCAGTCTACCTCTCGCTTAATTTGAGAAAATGAGCATGGCAGATAAATGGAACCAAACTGCTCTATTAGTCATTGACATGCAGGTCTCTCTCTTTTCTCTGAATCTTGTTTGCTACATATGTGCGCGCGCGCGCGTATGGGTGTATTGATGTTGTGCATCAAGTATTTAAATATGAAAAGAAATTTGCATCATATGTTTTTCCTTTTTTTTAGAATGATTTTATACTGGAGGATGGATTGATGAAAGTGAATGGAGGCAGAGCCATTGTCCCAAATGTGATCAAAGCTGTTGATATTGCTAGGCAGCGTGGCATCCTTGTTGTCTGGGTGGGTACTGGCTACCCCTTCTTTCTTGCTCGTTTTTTATTTCTACCTCATACCCAATTCTTCTTCTTTTCTTTGTTTCCCTTGTAACCTGTGGGTGTGATTTCCTGGGAATTATGACTATTTTCGTTGGAAACTATGGTTTTTTGTCTTTTGTTTGTTTGGGTTTTCCATTTCTAGAAAAAGAGGAATTTGGGAAGGGACTCTTTTCACTTGGCTTGGTGATCAGGAGATGTCATTAGTTTTTTTAATTTGCTGGGATGTTTGTTTTCTGTTCAATTTAATTTTGCATAACCGTTAATTTTATTGTTTCAGTCTAATTGTGATTGACATTAATTGGAAAACTGAAGTTCATAATGCTTCTGTATGGCGATGCATTGAGGTTGATTATACTTGGATTTTGTGGCTTCAGGTTGTCCGTGAACATGATCCACAAGGGAGAGATGCCGAACTCTTTCGCCGACATTTGTACTCTCCAGGAAATGTGGGTCCCACCTCGAAGGGAAGTGTGGGAGCAGAACTGGTTGATGGTCTTGTAATCAAAGAAGGGGATTATAAGTTGGTGAAGACACGTTTCAGTGCATTCTTTGCTACTCATCTTCATTCATTTCTGGGTACTGAGGGAATTAAGAGTTTAGTAATTTCGGGTAAAAGCAAATTTCAGGACCCATGAGCCTAGTTTAATTGTATTTTAATGATGATTGTTGATGAACAAGGGATTTGAGTGATTTACGTGCGCTAACAGTCTGTGATCCTTAAAATTGTTCGCGTAGGGGTTCAAACTCCAAATTGCATAAGGCAGACTGTCTTTGATGCGGTAGCTCTGGATTATCAACCTGTTACTGTTATTGTAGATGCCACTGCTGCTGCTACACCTGGCATACATGATGGTACGTATTCGTTGATTGCCTGCAACTGGTTCTATCTTTTATTGATTTTTTATGCTTTTGAATGAATATTTTCAAGAATTTGACTACCATGTTGATAAATGATTGGAGCAACCTTGATAGGATCAAGGAAGGAGGAAAATAGGAAAGGAAAGGAAGAGGAAAACCTTGAATCAGAAAGTACATTGAGGCATACATAATTAGTTTTAATTTCCCTTCATATTATCTACTTTGCTAAATTTTGCAAAACTTGCAACCTTTGAGATTGTTTTATATGTCGAATATTAAATTTCCAAGTACCTATGCTTGAAGTGATAAACAAAAAGGATAGGTGAGAAAATGGAGGGAAAGACTGAAGATGGTTGTTATCAGAGTCGTAGAATTTTGTGATTCATGGATTTAAAAATGGAACACAGCAGTTAAGGTAAAAGGTAAACGTGATAGAAAACCATTAGCATCACGCTATGAGGTTAAAGGAACCACTCTTTGAATATATCACACTTTCAAGAACCATAAACCAAACAGATGAATTTTTCATTGCTTCATTGAGAATTGAAAAAACTTCTCTTTGCTGGTTGTTAATACAAATCATAAGCTGATTTCTGTAACCATAATATTTTCAAATCAAGTATGATAAGGGATTTTGTTCTTTATTTCATATCTTGTATTCTGTGAAGTTAGAAGGAATTGGAAGTAAAAGAGTATATGTGAAGCTCTGATGTAGTGGCTTAAGCAGAATGGATGAAAAGATGAAAATATTTTGCCTGAAATTTAATGGTGTATAGGAATTTGTGTTGAGCTGGGGAGAGATGAAGACCATAAAATATTTGTTAATAGTATTAGGGAGTTTTGATGATTTAGGACAGAAATTGTTATCTGGCTCAAAATATTTTCCAATGATCGTGTCACTTAATATAATAATCATCACAAAGCCGTTATCATTTTGCTGAGGCTTCCCTTTGGTGATAGTCACAGCATCATTGATCTCTCAGCTATAACTAGGTAAAAACTTGCTATCGCTGTGTCCTGCTTGGATCTCAATAATCCTGCGATTGAGAAGGGTGGATCGATCACTGAACTACATCTTACTGTCTATCCTCTCCAAGTACTGAGAACAGTGAAAAGCAATGCATAAATGAAAACGTGCATCATCAACTCTGTTTTTATGATGTGGACATCCTTTTCTTGTTATTTACAACATTATCTTTTGATTATTTTCATGCTATATTGCTTTGACAATTGGCATTCATTACTGACATGGATCCCCATTTTTCGAACCAGCCAATGTTTCTGACATGAAAAATATAGGAGTTGCGACCCCAACATTGCAGGAATGGTGTGGTTCTGGTGCTTGACTCACCTCATGGCCATACGAGGTGCTGCTATCTCTGATTGTTCTTGTATTGTAGCGTTCAGAAATAATAATAATAATAATAATTGTGCTTGAAAGGAGCTATTTGCGTGGTGTGGTGAGCTGTCATGCGTTGCTAGTTTGTCGAGCAGCCAAATATATGTCTAAATTCTAGTGAGATAGAGAAAAAAAAGTAATGGAATATTCACAATTCAATTCTCTTTTCTGCTTATTATTGCGCTGTTAATCGGGAAATGAAAGGCTAGTTTGCCAAATGCCTTGTTGTGTTTGTACTGGTTGGCATTGCAACCGAACCATCCGTTTCTGGTAAGCTGAGGCTTACATGCCTTGCTGTGTGATCAGATTAGGACAAGGCATGAATGAATAGAAAAACTGCATGTAGTGGCTTTCAAAACACGTTTCTTGCCCTCAATCTTTCAAGTATTTCCCAAAAGGGGAAAAAAAGGAAAAAAAAAAACATTTGCCATGAAATTTCTCCAATTTGTTTTAATACTTTTGCATATTTTATTTTAGTTTTGAGGAAAAAAATGACTGTAAGTTGAAAAAAATAGAAAAGAAAATGATGAGCAAGAGTAGAGAGGAAATAAAATTTTCAAAATTAAAAAGAACGAAAAAAAAATGAAGAGCAATAAGATTCGGAAGAGATAGTAGGAATTAAAAATAATTATCCTCGTTTATTTTTTTTTCTACTATCCTAACTAATTCTCCATTAGTATTCTTAAATCTAAACCAAACATGTTCAAATGAAAGTTGCCTTGAAAGTAATTGCAAAGCTCAGAGCTGAGAGAGTTAAAAATTAATGTGTAAGTATGGTTATAGTAGAAAATAACAACTAAATAATGTAAATCTAGTTGGCTATATTATCTTTTACAATTATGGAGAGTGTTGTGATGTATTATATTGTTGCGATATTGTGGTTGCATAAATTAATTATCCTATCTTAAAACATAACACACAAGATAAAATATAGCAAGCAAGGGATTAATCCCATAAGAAAGGTTCGAGTCAAATTTTTATACTAGATGATATGCAACTTGAAGGGGTTTTGAACGTTATCTAGACTAAAGCAAAAGAACATAGAAAGCTATTATGTGAAATTAAATAAAATCAGAAAATTATCAAGATAACAAACATTCATCACAAACACACATTCCCATACAGAAAATCAGAATTGATAATGGAAACGAAACATTAATTTATATTCTGAATATTTATCTCTTCTTAATATTGGTTAGTTAACTGATCTACCATATAACTACCTCTAACCATCAAACAACCACAGTGTCTGCATTAGTAATTTAATTCAATGGCAACCTTTGGATCTAGATAAGTTGATTAATCAAGAAAATATAACTGTCTACAATTTATTTTTTATTTGATTGAATGTTCTCCCTAAGATTAATAATGTAGATCTGCCACAATTATTAAACTTA